TGGAGCTGTAATTAATTTTAAAATTTTTAACTAGTTGCAACTATTTATGAATTTTTATATTAAAATAAATTTTACAAAAAGTTGCAACTTATCGAGTTGCAACTTCTTAATTACAGTATCATCTTTAGTATAAAATAACAAGTTAATCAGTTTCAATATTAAATATCTTAAGAAAAATGTTAATTTAAAGTAATATTATTTAATAAATCAATTACTAACTTTATATTATATAATTCACAATTTTATTTTTTTTAAACGAATATTTAAATATAACAATTGAATGAAAATTGAGTAACTTTATTAGAGATAAAAATACCTTTGAATTTTATAAAAACTGCATAAAAAAACACTTATTCATCAATACTTCTATAAATTTACTTTATTATATAGTTTTTCCATTTGTTTTGATATATGCATTTTTTTTATTTTTTTTAAAACATTTCAAACAGGCAATAATGACAAATTTTACATATTGTGTTTAGTATATGATTATGTATAATATAACAACAAATTTGTTATTTTTATCATTATTAAAATTGCTTATCTAAACACATTTTGGATTTGATTAAATGTTCAAACCTTTAGTTTTGCTAAATTTTTGTTAAGTATTTGATATAGTTTTACTATATTTATAAGCTTTGATATAGTTTTACTTTTTTCTGAATCTTGCAAATTTTTAATAAGGTTTTAATATAATTTAACTAAGTTTTATCTTTATTATTTAGACATCTGTCTAAACTTTGGATTTCATCTAACAACTTTAATTATTACTATTATGATTATATTTATTTTTATTATTAATTATATTAATTATATTATAAATTAAAATTTATGTAAGGTTTTATGCTAATGTAATTTAAAATATTATTATATCCTACTATATATTAGTTATAAAGAAAGAAATAAATAAATAAATAAAATATCAGTATATGTTATATAATAAACTATATGTAATATTGATATAAAAAGTTATTTTATCAATTATGAAATGGGACATAAAAAATTTTTCTGTATATGCAATATGCAATTATTATTACATATAATATTAGTACATAGAAGTTTGATTATAATTTGTTTTATGATTAATAAAATAAATTAGTTTCTTTTATATTTAATAAAATTAGATATATAAATATATATATTTAAATTGATTTTATATATGCACAGATATACATATATGTGCATATAATTATACTGGTTATCTGTATATTGTATAAGAACTTTTTGACTTAAATTTTAAATACTGATTTTAATTATTTCAACTTATATTTGATTTTGATTTTTAATAATTGAAATTACTTGTTAAACTTAATAAAGTTACTGATAGTAATATTATAAAAAAAATGGTCAAAAAGATTTTAATTAATTTAATCATTTCAGATATTCAAAATTTATTAATTTTAATTTTATATATATATTTGCAATTAAAATTTTTACTAAAATATTATTTTTAATAATTACATAAATTTTAATATATAGAAAAATTGCTAGAAAATCAGGATTGAAAAATTTTAACTAAATTAAGATATAATATGACAAACTAAAATGCAAAAAAAAATCTCAAATTTTGTAGAATAGATTTCTTACCATATAATAAAATTTATCAATTGAATGATCCTTATGATTATAGATTCATATAAAAATCAAGTAATTCTTTCTTAAATATTTTAATTAAAAAGAATAGATTTGATATGCTTTAAATATATAAAAATCAAATTATTATTAATGAATCATTAGTAAACCTTTAAAATTTAATTATAAATAGAATAACTTGCTGATTATTTATTATACAGAAAAATATTGACGAAATAATTACTACAGATTATCTATTTCCTACATACAATTCATACTTTTTCTTAACTAACTTTAATGTTTTTATAATAAAATCTTGTAACCGCTGCCTTATATGGGACAGTCTTCCCTGTTAGCTAAAATTGAAAATTTATCATCGACTTATGTTATATTGCAACGTTCTATTGTAGTACGACATGAAAAATTAGCAATAAAAAGGACCTAAGTTCTCCTCTTTTTTTTTTTTTTTTTTTTATTTTTTATTGTAATTCAAAGATGATCGAATTTTCTAATAAAAAAATAATTTATACACCTTGTTATTGTGAAGAGAATGTGTATCATTTATGTAAAGCATTTGGTAAATTAGATGACATTTATGTTTGTTTCATTTCTAATGAAAATCGGTCGGTAAGCTAAAAAAAGTTTCATTTTTTTGGGGGAGATGTAATTTATTTAATTACAAATTATATCCTTTTTAGATTCCAATATGGAAACAACGTGCTTCAAAATTTCATGATGGAATTGTAATTTGGGTAAGTTAATCGTAATAAATTTTGATTAGTACCTTAATTTTTGATTGATTTATAATAAAAATACCACTTTAGGATTATCATGTGATTTTGCTAGTAAAAGAAAAATCAAATCCAACAAAGTAATAATATCCTATCCCAAAAACTTTTTTTTTTCTTATTCATTCTAATCATTAATTATTAATTATTCATTGGATTTTAAAGAGTTTATGATCTTGACACAACACTTTCTTTCCCATGCGATTTTTCAATTTATGTGCAAGAATCATTTAAAATACTTGACGATCCACAATATCATAGGTATAAATTTTTTTTTTTAAAAAAAAAGAGGAAAGATAAATTCATCTTTAATGTTTATTGGATTTCTAGAAAATATCGTATAATCCCTGCTGAAAAATATCTTAAAGTTTTTGCATCAGACAGAAGTCATATGGTAAGTGAAAAAAAAACACTTTTGATTTTTGATTTTTATCAATGAATTTTCATTCTTTATAGATTAAAAAGGATGGAACTTGGTTTGCTTCCCCACCAATTTATTCTCCCATTTCTACTTCAGGTAATGTCATAACTTTTTTTAGAATCGTATAATATTGTCATGATGTATTTGATAATTTTTTTTTATTTGATAGAATCTGTAAATAACTTACCACTCTTTATAAATATGACCGAGAACTTGGATTCAAAAGATTTTGGTTGTGTGCTAGATGATGATGATTTTAGAAAATATTTTTAATTATCGCCGAAAAATTGCAGATCACTTATGACTAATCGGTCAAGGTATACAAAATATAAATCTTCACATGTAAAGTCATTTATATATATATATAAAATTGAAAATAAAAAAAATATGTATTTAAAAAGAATTTTTTTTTTACTTTTTTAACGATAGAAATTATGATCATGACTTTCTTAACATTTACCTCACTAATTTTATTAGTTTCCGCATATTTTACTGAAACGTTAATATTTATTGGCTTCATGCTACTTGTTCCAATTTTCTATGCTGCAAATTTTTATTTCCGTTATAAACGTCATAGAGCGGCTACACCATGGTCAATTCAAGAGAAAGTTGTCGTAATTACAGGAGCTTCAAGTGGGATTGGAGCAGCACTTGCTTATGAGTTTGCTCGACAAGGAGCAACATTAATTCTTTGCGCACGTCAAATTGATTTATTGGCAAATGTATCAAAAGAATGTAAAGAAAAATACTGTGCAAAAAATGTATTAATTCAAAAAGTTGATGTAACAAGTGAAACGGATGTAATGCGTTTAGTTGAAACCGTTGATGCTGCTTATAGTAAGATTGATTGTCTCGTACTTAATGCCGGCGTGTCGATGGGTGAAACCTTGGAAAGTATTGAAGATTTTGATTTAATTAAAAAGATTATGGAAGTGAATTATATTGGTTCTACAATGCTTGCTTTTTATTCTTTACCTCTTCTGAAAAAGGCTGACAAAGCTCGTATAGTTATTAATTCCTCTTTGGCCGGAATTATTCCCGTTCCCCTCAGAACTGGTTATTGTGGTTCCAAATTTGCTTTAAGAGGTTTCTTTGAAAGTTTACAAAGTGAGCTTGTCGATGACAATATCTTCATTACAATGGCTTATGCGGTAAATTGTATAAAAAAGTTTATTTTTTTATTTCTTTATTTCTTATTAATAAATAATTATTTCATATGTAGGGTGCCGTAAAGACTGATATTAATAAGAATCGATTGGGAGAAAATCCAAAAAAACTCGATTTTAATAATGCAATGTCTGCTGAAGAATGCGCTAAAATCATTGTTGACGGAACGGTTAAAGGTCATAAAGAAATAGTTTTTACTAATATTGGTAAAATTGGTAGATTAATGGAAAGTGTTTTTCCCGATTTATTAGCATTTTTATCTTATAAACGAGCAAGGAAATTTTATGTTAAAGAAATTATCGATAAATCTTTGTAAGTTTCTTTAAAAAAAAAAAAAATAGATTGATTTTAGTTTTTATTATTTTGATACGATTAAATTATATTATCTATTTATTTATTTTACAAAACCAATAATAAAAATAAATTTATCATTCATTACATATAAATATAAAAATGCGCGGTATTTAAAGAACAGTCCTTTTTTTTTTAACCCCCGAAAATGGTTTAATTATATACTGTTCACTATATAAACCCTCTAAGAAAAAAAATTCTTTTGTCCAAATTTAAACATAAATATAACCGATCGATCTTGTGATTTTTATGCGAAAAAAAAATATTCATATTTATGAAGAGTCGCGCTTTCCGGTGATAGAATATGGTAAGGTTTGCCAAGTTATTATGATAATTAGAGGAATTATCGGATTTTTTGAACGGGATGGTAATAGGTAGTATGTGGGTTGGTTTACTGATTTTATTGATAGAAGAACGGGTCAAAGTCATTTGCCTGTTCAGATTTATAAAAAGAATGGCCTTTTTTTCTCTTTTCCTTCTTTTTATACTGTGCAAATTTTTTTTTTAATACCAACTTTATGAAGGCTTGCGTACAATATAAACAACTTAAAAGTTTATTAATATTGAAATGTGATAAACTACGTTTGTATAAAATGTGATGGATACGTTAAATGCGTCTATTTTGTACACTAAATGCGCCAAGCTTCCCACTAAGTCTAAATATGGAAATTTTTCTCGGGTTTAAAAAAAGTTTTTAAGCTTTTTAAGGATTACTTAAAAATTTAATTAAATATTTATACTTTTAATTAATATTGCAATCAGATTTCTCGAACTTTCTAATATTAAAAGTATTTCATCAGGTTTTAATTTTAATACAGCAAGTCAAGAAACTAAATGTTAAAAGAAAGTTTTGTGTATAATTTGGACCCAAAACTAATTACAAAATTATTTTATGGTATAAAAATATTTTCTTATGTACAAAAATAATAAAATAAACCGAAGGGGGATTAAAAATTGCTTTTTTTTTTTGTGTTTTTGCCTCTTTTGATAGTAAATGAATTTACTTGATTGATATTATATTAGTATAAGGCGTTAAAACAAAAACACACACAAAAAAAACTAATATATATATTATTTTGATTTTCTGATTTTATTATAAAAATATTTCTTAAGAAAAATTTTAGGTTTCTTCTTTTATTACTTTTCAATTGAGAACATTAATTTAAAGCAATCTTTCACATTAAGATCAAATGCATTTTATGTTAAGAATTTATTCTTTCATTTTCATCTGATGATCATATCAAAAGCACGCAGGTTTTCACTTTCCAAATTTCATTTACAAATCTAAATCAATGATTTCCATATGATTCAGCAAGAAGTTGCAAGACTTCAAAAAAGATATCCTAACAAAGAATTTCGAGTTTCTCTTCCTTATTAGTTGCGCCCGCATATACAAATTTTTTAGCGGGCGTTGATTTGGGAAAAATGTCTGAAGGATAGGAAAATGAGAAGTACGTTATATCATAAAAGAACGACATTTTTTTCATTTATATTAAGTAATATCGAAAATGTCGAATGCATAAACAATTGTGTATTCGATATCCTTTCGAAAATGATAAACGTCAAGGGAACTACTATGTATCGAATCTTAAAAAATTTTTATACCGATTTATTTTTAACCCTAAATCATTACTTAACCATTCAATAATTATCACAAAAGTTTTATTATTGAATAAAATGACTTGCTAATAAAATTGTAATTCGTTTATTTAAAAGGATTTGCTTCTAATCCAGAGGTTTCGTATTTATGGATTTACCTTTTAACATCGACAAAAAAAAATGACCAACCGATATAAATTTTAAGTGATCGAATATCAAATATAAAAAAAAAAAGTATTAATGATACATATAAGGTTTACCTTTGGCGTTTCATTTCTTACATAGCGAGGTGGCGGTCTAATATACGGTACGGGAACTGAATGTTCATTAAACCAATCTTTCTTGTCAAAATCTTGATTTGGAAGATACTCCTGCTCTTTTCTGTAAATTGGAAAGAAAACGCCCAATTCCCAATTATAAATTCTTATTTGTAATTCCTTTGATTCTCGCGATGTGGTAATTTTTCCCCTAAGATTTTGTTTCATCAATGAGAGAAAAAAAATTTTTTTTTTTGGTATAATGTTCGTACGAGTTTAATGCAACGCAAAATTCTATCTTACCAAGCTGATTCGGAAAAATTATGACTCCTGTAACGAAAAAAAGAGATATGATATTATAACAACAATTTATAACAGCGCTTTTAATCGGATCGTATTCAAGTGCATACCCGCAATAATACCATCCTCCCGCATTCTCTTGTGATTCAACATTTAATGGCATTTCATTAGGTTTTTCCCGAAATTGAGCCAATGCAAACTGTGATAAATCTCTCCAGTTAACAATGATACGTCAATTGCATAATCTCGTTACTAAAAGTATTATTTTTTTTACCTTTGAATGCATTAACATTCCATCCCGTTTAGAAATGCAATTTCTGAAAATGAACCATTAAGTGAATAAAAAAATAAAAAAAAAATAAAAATCTTTTTTTTTCAACTTACCTTAAAATTTCTTTGGGGAATGTATTTTTGATGTATGCTTTTTCGGAAAGGCAAATGGTCGACGCGATTGCAAATTTCGCCTATATTGTTCATGAGAAATTTTTTTTTTTTTACATTTAAGAGGAATGTGCCAAGAAAAAAATACCATAACAACTGATAATATATACCGACTGTTCATAATTTGACTCATAAACAACTTCATGAGATGGATAAACTACGATGATTGGAGGTAAATGATCAGCTTCTCCTTTTTTTGGACGAGGACGGCTTTGAGCCGAAACAGGATCCAATCCTCTTGCGGATAGATAAAATTCAACCAAATATTGTTTATTAAGACTGCCGATCGAAGAACTCTTGAGAACGATTTTTATAAATTTAGATACTTTTTAATTGATCAAATGTGATGAGGATAAGTTAATAAGTAATACGTACTTGAAATTCTAATTGAACATCTTCACGACTTCCACAGAATTCTTTAACTGCCTTACTTATGCGTCCATGTCCAAACCTTTTGATATTTTCCATTCCTTTATGAATACCAGGAATTGAAGGAACGAGAGTTGCCTTTACACAAAATAATTCATTTAAAAGGTTTTCAATTATTTATATAATTCAACTTTAAAAATTTCTTGACCAAGGATTTACCTTTGACTTTGAATAGTCGTATTCTGGGAGAAGATTAACTATATGCGTTTTAAGTCCCATGGCTACCAAGAAATCATTAATATCTCTAGCAAATCCTTGTAAACCGTTATATTCTTTAGACTTATCACGAGCAAGAAAATCTTGAATAAAAACCACATTTTCACAAAGTTCCCAATCTTGAGGAACCAAATTCCCGGATGAAATGACAACTCTCATCCAATTATCGAAAAACAATAACATTAATTTCGCATGAAAACATCCAAATCCACTTTCAGATTTTGGCGCATGAACGATTAAATACTTTGTATTGGGGACACCATTTAATCCTTGCTTTAATAATTTAACAAAAAATATTAATACTTTTTAAGTAAAAGAACAATTAATGATATATTATATATATATAAAAAAATTTCACCGTTTCATTATCTTCTATTCTCCAGTCTTTGGCCAAAACAATTTGCCGATTATTAGGTAATTTTGAGGATAACCATGCAAAATCGACAATCATAGAACTGAGAAAGGCTTGTTTAAGTATTGGCTTTCAAATAAAAAATAATTATTTAATTAATAAAAAAACGAGTCTTTTACGTGAGAAAAGTATATAAAATAAATATTCACCTTTTGAACCAAATCATCAAATTTTACATAATTATCACTTTTATAACCTGGTAAGTATGTAAGTTTGGTGACACCTTCCAAGTATCGTGGTACTATTTTTGAAATATTTATTTGGCATAAAACACCTCATTTCTAAAAGGAGAAACAATTAAACGTATATTTAATGAACAAATGATAGATTATTCCCGTACCATTGCTCGACATTCTTTATTGATTTTGATATTTGAAATTTAAACGATTTTTTATGAGAAAATGTTAGATTTACGAAACATAAACAAAAAATCTGATTTAAATGTAAGAATATTGTGTAACAATCACAAATGAGACGATGCAGCAGGGACGATTTTTTGTGGTGATAAAAGGTAAATTATGTGTGATTAAAATGAATTTTGTGTTGTGTTGTGACCTTTTTTTTTGTAAAATTTTTGTTGCGTTATTTATAACATTTTGTGATATTTTGTTTTTATTATTATTTTGAAAAAAAAAAAATTAAAATACACGTTTAATTGAGAAAGTTTTGGTATGCGATATAACCATTAAACTGCAGATCATGTGAAATTATGTGCATATATGGGAGCTTTGCAGTATGAAACTAAAAAAAAAATTTTTTTTTGTTAATGTTAAATCTCAACTTATTTTCATATTTAACAAAATAAAATTTTAATTTTTTTTAGAGTTCTACTGCAAAACGCCCATATGTGTGCATTATATGTGCATATCTATAATTATGTGATATTATGCGGTAAATTATGCATTTATCACAAAATATTGTGATTTATGTGATATTTTGTGGAATGCCATAAAATCATCGTCCCTGCGACGCGGTATCCCGTTTATTTACTTTTTTTTTTTTTTTTCACAATTATTCAGAAAAAGTGATAAAATTTTCTCAAATACTTTTTATTATAAATAAAACTATTCTTAAACATAGAATAAAAAAGCTCTATTTTCAACGTTCATGTAATCAATAAATTTTCTAATCGTTAGTTTTATAGTGAATAATATAATCAACCACATAAATATGTGGATTGCAAATATAGCAACCAAAAGAAATGACATACAAATAATAAATAACAAACAAAATTCAATTGAACCATGAAGTTTCCTTGCATAAATTCTTGACCAGAAATATCCAAAATATTTATCAATACTATCTAATAGCTTTAATGTATTTGATAAGGTTGCTTTATTATCGTATAGTTCTGGACATCTAACATTAGATATTTCAATGGGCAATGATAATATTTCATTTGTTAGATGAAATTTTAAAATTTTATTAAAGATCGGATCTGTAAATTAAAGAAATTAAATTAAAAAATTATTAAAAATTTAAAAAGAAATCGATCATATATTATATATATATTTCTAACAAACCTGGTATAATAGGTTGAAAGGGAATGACTTCATTATACAAAATTCCCGATTTAATGTGATAAAATCTTATCAATGGCATACAATTTTTTAATTTCATTTCAAGCTCGATAAAATCTTCAGCCTCCCATTCTTCCACATTACACCTGTTTAACTTTCTTGGAATTTGATTAATCCCCCAGTCTAAAACTTTTTCCCAAATCTCAATTTCATAAAGATGTAAATAATCATTTTTTAAGCATGACAAGAGGATCTCTTCGGGTAGTTCAAGAAAATTATGGGATTGAAATATTTCCGTTGGATGTTTTTCAACTAACATGAGAAAATGTCTTTGGAGAATTTGAAAATGTGGAAATTGCGTTGTAAGATTGTAAATCACAATTAAATTGTCAATAAAAAAATTGGTACAATCCAAGGAATCATTAAGTTGTTTTTGTGTATGATCAATCAGTCTACCAAGACAAAGCTCATCAGCCGCTATAAGTAACTCAAAAAGTAAAGGTGGAGGAACTGATTTATCACTTGGAAGTGTTTCTGTATATATGAACCTGGGGAGGAAAAGGGAAAAAATAAAGTTATTTTCGTTAATTTAGTTAAACAGTTACATATAACTTGTTTGATCAAAAAGACTTACTTGAGGATGATTTCAAAGACTTCGGAAGAAATGTTTGGTTTATTTAAAATGTAATAATTATCTTCCATCTTAAGCCACCTACCTGACAATGCACTTTCGAAATATGTACAACTTGTTTTTAAGGTTACAGAATGTGCATAAAACTTTTTATAATTGGAACCCTCACCAATATGTAAAACAACATCATAATTTGGATTAGTTGAATGTGGTTCTTCTTTAAGATATTTACTAACATTATTAAAAAGATTTTGCACAATTTGCGACAACATTTGTTTTTTTTTTTGAAAAGATAATAGGAAAAAAAGGAAAGTGAGTGTTATTTATGTTAAAGACGAACTTATATTAGCTGAATATCTATAAATGTTTGAGATTTACAATCAACATGTGAAACAAAACATAAACATTACTCAGGTTTTTTTTTTTTTAAAAAAAAAATTTGATTGCCATCAGAAGGTTAACCACAAATAGGATCGGCATTTCTTTTTTTTTTTTCATGTCCACTTTTTGATCCTCTGCTTTCTTTTTTTTTCATGCAAAACATCCTTCCATTTTTAAAAAATCAATACTGCAACCACGATTTGTTAAGTCATGATTTTATAACTACTTTTAGGAAATTCAAAAGCTCCTCTCCTTTATAAGCTTTATTTGTATTTTGAGATCATCTCGGAGATTTTAAAAGTGTTACTCGTAACAAAACAGATTTTTATTATGAAATCGCACCATTGTCCTTCGAATTGGTTAAAAAAAAAGGATAAATTCAAAAAAATCCTCATTGCTGCAAGGAACTGTTATAATAAAAATAAATAAATCAAAAAAAAATTATGTTGTGTTACATCATTAAATGTCGCACAAATAACGTAAGAAACCGAGTTTTTATTTATCCGCAGTTGTTGCTGGTTGTAATTACAAATCATTATCGGATCTTTCTTCTCGTAAATTTTCCGTTTTTACAAAATAAAACCGATAAGAGAAATCTAATGCAAAATGTCAAATGGTATTTTGACGTCTAGGTTGATGGAAGAACGTAGACTATGGAGAAAAGATCATCCTTATGTGGGTTGTTTTTTAAGAATTTTTTTTTTTCTTTTTGGTTTTTGGTGACCTGACCTAAAAATTCAACAAATGCATATCGTCCTCGTTTCATGTTTAGGGATTTTATGCTCGACCTCAAAAGAATAAAGATGGTACATTAAATATACGTATTTGGGACGTTGGAATACCTGGCTTAAAAGGTGTAAGTGTTTCTTAAAAATCATCGAAACCACTGGACTGTTCTTTTGTGAAATTTTAAATAATTCCTATAACAAATGATTTTAGACACCTTGGGAAAATGGACTCTATAAACTTACAATTACATTTTCTGAAGGTAAATCATTTTAAATCAGTTTATCATGTTTAATTATTTACGTGTTATTGATCTATTTATTTTGTTTAGATTATCCCACAAAACCCCCTAAATGTATGGATTTAAAGATTAAGATCTGAGATTGAAAGATCATATTCAACGATTTTTCCTTTAATATCTTTTTTCTAGGTAAGTTTAACCCGCCTTTATTCCATCCCAATATTTATCCTTCTGGAACAGTTTGTCTATCTATTTTAAATGAGGAAGAAGGTTGGAAACCTAGTATTACCGTTAAACAGGTAACTTTTTTATCTCGGATATTTTTATAATGTGTAAATTTAATTGATTCATTGATTTTAGATTGTACTTGGTATTCAACATCTTTTGAATGAACCTAATCCGGCAAGTCCCGCTCAAGCAAAAGCTTATGAATTATACACGTAATTTATCAAATAAAATTTATTTTGGTTTTATCTTATCATGATTTAGTCTTACTAAGTATTACTTTATACAGAAAAGATAAGGTAGAATATTTGAAACAAATCAAGCTACAAGCTAGAGAAAATTATATAAGGTAGCTTTTTTTTTAATATTTATATTAACTAATTTGTCAGAAAAAATCATCATCAAACGACATATCAATGATTCTGTTTTTTTTAGATAATCGATCACCATACACATCTTTTCTATCACAATTGAAAGTCATCTTCGTTGTTAATGCAGGCTATGAAAATTGCTTATAATTTAGAACAAAATCGATAATCGAATAAAATTCTTTATATCAATTGCAAAATTTGACAAAAATAATAATAAGTAAAAGATAAGTAAAGAGAAATAAATTCTCTTTAATTTTATGCAGTTCTCTATTTATTTCGAGATTTTACGGGCTTTTTGAACCATATTAATATGAAATCGTTATAAATTTTGTAATTCCACGAAATTTTCCTTTAAAAAAGGTTATTTTTCTTTTCTTTCAATTAAAATCGTCCTTCTTTTATCATTTACATAAATCCATTGATCCTATTAAGAAATTGGTAATTTATTCTCTCGGATCGTATACAAATTTCAAATAGTCATGACAATATCCTATAAAATTTTATAATATCAAATGTATATATAAAAGGTTTCATTTTAATCAAAAAGCATTATATAAATTACTAAATAAGAATATAAATATAATATTGAAGATTTAGATGGATCAATCCTCATTATAATAGAGAGGAAAGGAATTTTAATTTATGGAAAAGAAAAAAAAAAATAGCTAATATTTAGTTTTTCTTGATAATTAGTTTTACTACGTCGTATCCTATTTCCTTGGGTCATATTCCTTAATTTCGAATTATCGCGGTTTTGCATTCCCAAATATATATTCTTCACAATTGATTATATCTTTTATGTGATAGAAATGCTTGCCCCTACGATTTCGGTTTTTTTTTGGACATAACTCTTGACCACAAAATTTGTTCACGTGCCGACAGGCAACGAACTGCTTCGAAAACTGTTAATAATATTCTTTGAGGGACTTCTTTTACTATGGATGTAATTTGCAACATTTAGAAGCATTGTTTACGTGGAGAAGGGGATGAAGCGATGCAAAAATATGATTTTGTCTAAATATTATACATCGTATGATGTATGTATTCACCAATTTGTATTTATTAACATAATGACATTAATGAAAGGTCAATCTTTTGGATCAATCTTTTTTGCTTTAAAAGGGCCCACATGCTATAGGAAATATTGCACCTGCTCGGATTTTGTCCCTCGGTTCTAATTTTTCCAATGGACTGTATTTTTTTTTTTTTTTTAAAAAAAAAAAATTTAATAATAAGATGCGCTTTTTTTTATTTTTATTTTTAATTTGTTGTTTTTTTTTTGGTGAATTCGCTAGTCCGTGGACCACGATTATTTTATCAAATAAAAGAGAAATATAGCAAGATGATTTGTCAATTTTTATGAATGCAAATTAATTTTTTTATTACGGATTCTATATAAGATATATAGTTGGAAGCATTACTTTTAAATAACATGATATACGTAATCTTTATTCTTAATATAGAATCAGATTTATGTTTGCAATTATTTTTTCATGATTGAATCATATTTAAACAATTAATATAATGTTAAAATTTGTAAAAGATTGTAATATGCAAGTTTTATTCGCTAGAGTTATTCCTTATTTGCATCGTTCTTCCAATTTCCTTTTTTTTCCAAATCCAATTTTTGTCGTAATAATTTAATCCAAATAAGCAAGCAATACATTATTATATCTTAAAAGTAAAAAGAAAATCAATACACAATAATTCTTTTCAATCATCCTTTCCCATGAAATCCGTTCAAATGATTTTTTTTTTTTCAAAAGTCGAAAAACTTTGTATCCTCAGGGTAAATTTCTCTGACTTTATCTCCTATAATCTCCAATGCAGCTAAATGACCGCCATAACAACTAGAAATCCCCACATCAATAATATAAACTTTTCCATTAAAATTTGACACGATATTTTTCATGCAAACTGTATGCCCAACTATCATCCTTTTAACCTATAAATCAATATATATATATAAAAAAATAAAAATAAAAAGATGAAGAAGATTATTATTATTAATGATTGATTAAAAAAACATTTTCCCATCCGAGAGTTAATAAAAGTATCTAGTTAAACAAAACAAACCTTTAGTACTTCCAAGACTTTATCCAATTCCTCTTCGTTCTTCTTAGTTTGCAAAGCGTAATCTCTGTGCCAAAATGGTCCATCACCTTCAAGAAGATCTTCCTCATCGGTCGTCATAAAATCTTTCTTGGTAAAAGTGCCTGTTTCTTGCATCTCAGGATCACATAAAAATTCTGTATATTTCTTAACTAAGTTCGCGCCAATTTTATTCATTCTTTCAATACCTTCATTTGCCCACTTTAGGTTAATACCTCCATGAACAAATAATGTATCTTCAACAATTGCGGCAACTTGGAAAGATGTTCCGAAGAACTTTCCAATAAACCCGTCGGAAGAGAATTCGATAATCCGATTCTTTTTTGATCCAAAAGATTCGATATCTTCATCTGTTACGTGATCCCAATCTAGCTCCAGATTCATGAGTTCATGATTACCGAAAAGATTAATCACCTATAATAAAACGATAAACATAACATGAATCCATCAGGTTTTTAGATAAAATAATTCGAAATATTGATTAAGACTTTCTACCATTCCTCCTGCTACTTTAGCCTCTTTTTGTAACCTTTCAAACAATTTATAAATTTTTAAACAATCAGGACCTCGATCCACTATGTCCCCCTGTAAATAATTATTGAAGTTAGATTATTTGAAATCCGAGACAATCTATTGAAATTAAGAGACGTAACCGTTTGAACTAAGATTCCATTTCCGTTACTCCAATTTATCTTATCATCAATAATATTAGCCAAGCTCAAGACCCTAATTGTTTGTTCATAGTCTCCATGTAAGTCGCCTATTGCAATTATTCTTCGAGGCGTCGGTGACGACGACAAGGACGATGGAGACGGTCTAATTCGACGAGACCTTTGTGTATTTTTTAAATTATCTAGCTTGATGGATTTAGAACGATGTAAATTTCGACTAAAAATTCTTTAGCATTCGAAGTATATGAATTACATTTAGGACGAAAAATTTTAAAAAATTATTTGTACCTCAGCGACCAAAAGTAAAAAGGTACTATGGACTTCAGATTTTTATATCTTTTATAAGATTTTAAAATTTTTGATGTATTCCTTGCGATGAAAAGTTTCTTCTTGACCATTTTTTTGTATTTTATTTTAAAAGTGGATGGTTACAAGGTATAATTTAGAAAAAACGAAAAAAAAAACCAAAACAAAAAGCAATTGATATGGCGAAAGTGAAGATAAACATTATTTACTTAGATCAGAAATTCATCATATTCTCATATGCTAAAAAAGTAAAATATATTTTTACCATATAAATTTAGCGCGTTTCCCATCAAACATGTCACGTAATGCAAATAGGTTTCACAACGAAAAAGGCGGGGATGATGATTATATCATGTGATCTTACATTGGTAGTTCTCGCTGTTTATTGCTGTAGATCAAAAAATAGAATTTACACAAACATTTTCTTACAGTTTCCAATTCCTGGCATCGTATCATGAATAATCCTTACGGCTTCGAAGATAAACGTGTCTATGTGTGTTTGGATCTGTTGGATCAAGCCACAGATAGACAAAAAGAAGTACAACTAAGATTAGATGCTTTGAACTCTCTTAAACAATTAGTCGGAGAACAAGTTAATATATTACAACCTGATTTATTATATAGAATTAGTGGTTTATTACGAGATTCTGTAAATGAAATAAAAGAATGGATCGTAGAATTTATGGAGTTTGCTTTTATGAAAATTGGATTATCACGGACATTACGGAAAGATAGTATGTTTCTTTTTGATTTCAGCTAGAACTTTTATTTCAAAACACCTACTATAATAATTTTTCTTTAAAGAAATTTTAGCTGTAGTAATAGGATTTTTTTTTTTTTTACAAAAAAAGATTTTTAAAATATTTTACTTTTAGAATTTGGGTGAAAAGAGTAAATTTTAAATAATAAAAGAATTTTTATGTATATAAAAAAAAAAATAAACAAAAAAATATTAAATTAATAACTTTAATAACTTTGTGAAATAAATATTGTATGTATATTATTAAATCAGGTTTAGATAAAGTATTACCTTCCATAGGATATATTATCAACTACGAATCTTCTCCTGCTATAATTAAAAAAGCGATACTTTGGAATTCATCAGTTTATCCATTAATATTTGAAAGAGTGTGAGTTCTATTGAATCAAATTATTTATTGATAAAAGTTTTTGATTTAAGTACAATCATGAAAAAACAAATTCACTTGGCTAATTTTCAGATCAAAACTTTCTTTTATTGGATTATGTTTTATTAAAGAGCCGAAAATACATTAGATTCCGCTTCTCTTTGGAAAAGTTCTTCATCGATTAAGTCTCAAGTTATGAAATATTTTGATTCGGAAAATACGAATCAAGGCATTAGAATCTGTGCTGTCAAGTACTTTGCAACTGTCGCAAAAGTTCAATCTCGTCGTATGCCGGATTCATTGGTAAGTTTAATTTAATATTTGATTAATTGTAGAAGAGAAAGAATGTTAATCTCGTGATATTATTCAATTTGATTAGCCTAGGCTCGATGAAGACTTTTCTTTGTCTAATTGTCAACCTTTACATCCTGTATTGGATTTACAATACCTTGAAAAAGAATCAATATCAATTGTTAATGGAATGATGATGATGATGCGAACCGAGTTAGTATAGATCAAAGAGGAAATCGCTGTCATTTTTCATCATATAAATTTATTAATTTATTTTCTTATGATATAGATCAAACAGCGTCATTACGGCTATCATCAATGCATTTGGACCTCTGTTAAGAGCAAGACCACAGTATGTTTTAACATTTGTAAACAATGTGGTATCATGGACAAAAATCCCGGAAAAGAATTTGAGTTTAAGCGAATTTCAAATAAAAAGTGTTAAACGATCGATGAAGGTGCAGTTGATGGCATTATTAAGGTAATTAATTATCTTGAAAATTTCTTTTGTTTATATTGACGTATTAAGAGTGATTTATTGATTTTATTTTACAATTTGAACAGAATACATGAAAATTCGCCTTTCGTGATGGAAATATTTAATGCTGTAATTGTATTAGGAGGCAAGAACGATCCCTCGAAATTTCCAAGACAATTTCGTAGGAATTTACAACAAAGAGAAGCCATGGATGAAAATGGTCGTGGAGTTGCACAAAGATTTCCAATCCAACAGCAATCGAATATTAGTGTAAGTTATGTTTTAGTTAAAAAATTGTTTCTATGATGTAATAATATAATATTTCTATTTTCTAACAATTATTTATTTATTTATTTTTTTTTAAAAAAAAAATTACTTCTACCCAATAAAAGTTTGATCCATCACAATTTGCTCTCCCTTTCGTCGTGGAAGTTATTTGTTTGGTTTTGAAAACAATTCCGCAAGAGAGATTGAATCAAACTAAAAAGGTTTATAGAATCTTACTATTTTTATTATTGAATTTTATTTTGGTTATTTAGGAATATACAGTCAAAGCTTGATAAGTGGAACCTTTTATTTTAATAGGAATAATTGAAAATCAGCATGTAAAATTATTAGATTTCAAATGAAATGGTTCGTTATAATTCTTTTTAACTGTTAATTGAATGATATCTATTGGGTTTTGACTGTATAAGCCACCATTAACTTACCATTTTAAAATAAAAGTAATTATAACATTAAGAAGAGTTTTACTAGTAAAATAATTATTTCCGAATAATTTCTCAAAATTTATTTTTATATACTATTACCATTTAAGAAAGTGATAATACTAACTTAAAATAAAATTATTATTTAGAAAATTTCATATAGAAAGATTTTTAACTTTTTGTTTCATTTCAAATGTTGTCAGGCAATACAAGAACGAAATACAAGACAAGCAACAACATCTACCTCGCAACATGAAAAACCAAAAATTCGTGATCATAGGCCACGTGATCCACGTTTGGAAGAAGAGACAGATGAAGAAATAGAAGCGGAGGAAGAGGAGGAGGAGGAGGAGGAGGAAAGAATGATGATAGTTGAAAAGGACAGGTTGGAAAAGGTGATAGAAGAGATAGTTCAAGAAATAGTTCCTAATTCACCAACACCACCTTCGGTAGAATCGGATTCCGATTTGTCAATGGAAATGGAAGTAGATAAAACCAAAATCGAACCTATACCTCCTCCATATGAAGAGGACGTTTATAGTGATGATATTGTCGTGGAACCACCAAAACCAGATTTGATGGAAGATATAACTCCATCTCCACCTGAAGTCGAATCAACACCAGAACCGCAAACTTTACCCGTTCCTACTTTCAAATTTCAACCTTATGCTCTTCCACCTCCCGAAACCTTATCCTCAGAACATTCTATTTCTTTTATAAAAAATGCTTTTAAAAATATATTGGACGTTGAAGCTGCATTATCTGCTGATGTGAAAGACAAACGCTCGAATGTAGTTCTAACAACTTTGTCTAATGGTAAAAGACTAACAAAATCACAATTACACATAATGGCTTCAAGGTTCTTAACTCGAGGTCTTGAAACTTATTATGAGAATGGTCACAAACAATTTGATGACTTGAGAGAAATGATTGTTCAATTTATACTTAAAGATTTCAGGAATAGGTTTGTTTATATTGATGAAATTTATTATTATTACTAATTTTTTTTTTGATTTGGTTTTTTATTTTAAAAAAAAAGAGAGAAGATATTTTAAATTTTATTTTATTGTTTTATAATCAGAACAGAATTTGCTTTAACATGGCTTGATGAAGAATGGTATCATGATTCTATTATGTTACGTAAAGATTCCTCATATGTAAGATATTCGTTTATTTTTATATATATATAATTAATACACTTTACGATAACTTATAATGATTTTTTTTAACATTTCTTAGCAACCAAACTATTCAATTTGGTTATGCAAATTGTTAGACAGAATCATGCCAGCTCTTGAAGATCATATATTTACTCAATTTCTACTGGATGTTCCAGAGTTATTTGAAGATGCCGTGGATCGAATAAAAATCTTTTGTAACGATCCTGATAGGTGCATCTTAAACGCGTTTTTTTTAAAAATATATATATATATATATATCATAAATTTCATATAAATTTAATACTTTATACTTTATATGTGTTTAGGAGTTCACTTGGATTCGCTACATTAAGCGAATTGATTGAACTTCGACCACCAGCAAGACCATTTTGTTTAAATATTTTATTAGCATACTGTTTGCACAAAGGTTAGGATATATTAGGCACACGCAAATGGACATATATTTGAAATTTGTTGTTAATTTTCTTTAATTAATTACAGGCGAACGATTGAGAAATTCGGCTATTACCAAAGCTAATAAATGGTTTCCTGATCATCCAGTGGTCGGTAGTGAGGTTGAATCTTTCGCATTACAGTCATTGAAACAGCTTACACTAGAAGTGCCACCTCCAACATATGACTTTCATTATCATTACCATTATAGCGAGACCACAAAGATAATAAAGGATGAAATGAAAGAGGAGGAAAGAAAATGGACGCAAGTAGATGTGGAACGTCATCTTGATTTATTTCTTTCTTTAGTTGCAAAGAAAAGACAATTATTCGAAGAGTATGTAATATATATTTATTTATTTGTTTATTTATTTTTATTTTTTTTAAGATCTAACGATAATTATTTTTAGTCTGGTTGCGGTCTACATCACATCATCAGATTCAATTCAAAAGATGATTCGTAATTATTCACAAAAAATGATTGACACAATCGGGTTGGCTGGATTATTAGATTTATTCCAAACTTTTCCAAGTGGAGCAGAAGATTTTGTATTGAGATTGTTAATTGTCTATACAAATAGGATGGGTGATTATTAATGTTATTTTTTTTATGTTAATTTATTCTTGACAATTATATTAATTTTTTCTATATAATGAAGTGCACCCACCAACTCAATTAATAAATACCGCCAAAACTGTGATTGTACAGAGGAATTTAGATGGAAGATTTCTATTTCCAATTATTGCATATTTTGATAAGGTATCTTAATACAAATTATATTCTTTTCAAAATGATGAATATGTAGATTATTAATATATGTGATTTTCTTAGGAAGAAATACTACGTCATCTTCCTAAAGTCATTGTTACGCTTGATGCTACTGAAAAACAGAGAGAAATTGTAAAAAAGGTTTTCATGAAAATTTTAACAGTTTCAGCGAAAACTCCAACACCTTTAAAGCCAATGGACTTGTTAGTTTTTTTGCATCAATTAAAGCCAAATGAAGTTCCATTAAAACACTCTGTTGAAGGTAACTTTATTATGACAAATCGTAATATAAACTTATTTAATTTCTTTAAACAAATAATAATAATAATTTTTTTTTTATCCTCATAGCAATTCATGTGTGTTTCAAATTAAACAATATATACAATTCACAAATATTGGGTGCCGTGCTACAACATCTATCTGTGCAATCCGAGTTGCCGCCTTCTTTTATGAGGACGGTATGTATTAATTTATAGCGCATAATTATTTAAAGATTAAGCTCATTTCATTTATGTTTTTGATTTCTTTTAGGTGACATTAAGTGTTAGAACGTATAAAAATTTATCGAGCGTTGTTAATGAATTGTTGCTACGACACATCAATCATATTTGGCAAAATGAAATGCTGCGTAAAGGATTTATATTATATTGTACAGAATATTGTCTCAAGGTAAGTATCATAATTTGTAAGATTCAGGAGTTATGACTCATGCATTGATAATTTATTTCGTTTATTTAGATACAACCAAATGATTTTAAATTTTTATTACGATTACCAAAAACTCAAATATTAGAAGTATTAGAGCAAAAAGATCCCACGTTAAAAAAACAATTTAGAAAAACTATGCTAGAGTCTAATGCTGATCAAAGACGTTTACTCCAGGGATATTTAATTGAGCTATTAGAGATTAGTGATTAAATTCTTATTATCTTGCATGGTAAATTGATGGATTACTAAATTTTGTAATTTAAATAGAGAACATTTTATGTATAGTAGGTTACATATAATGCAATTATAAGAGGATTATTCATATTCCCTGGCACTTTCCTTCAAAAAAAGATCTCTGTTTAATTGCCTTTAATATATTATTATTACTTAGATTTGCATGGTCAAATTTAAAAATTTTTTGATTATTATGCTAAAATGATTTTTTTATTTTGAAGAATAAAAATAAATGTCATGTAGCCAAGTCTTTGCGAGATTTAACCGATGTTATTGTCTTAGGCTATGTTGAATAATATCTTATGACTATGATATGTTAAATATCAATAATAAAATGTCGGATCTATTTTTTAATCCAGTTTAAACATGTTGACTTGCCGCTAAGCAATCCACGGATTATTGCTGCGCCATTAAACATAAACTAAATTTTTATCGCTAAATATAAAGGAAGTGACGGATAGCAAATGACAAGCAGGGTGTGACAGGCGTGATAAATATCGGTATACTGCGCTTGCAGATCGCACTGGGATCTTCATAATCTAATGAACGGCAATGGAAATTCTCTCGCCTCGATCTCTCTCTCTTTTGAAATAAAGAGATCAAGATATTTTTAATTCCCGGGATACATTTAAATTATATGTTATTTCTGTCCGATAGGTCAATAATGTTTTTAATCACGTCAAGTCACTTCAAATCATTCATTTTTCCATTATTCTAATCTTTTTTCATATTTAGTTTCAACATTTAATAAATGAGAAATGTTTCAGCAAGTTAAAACAGGTTTATTTTTATTTTTCTTGAAAATTATTCACGTCATGTTGGAAAATTTTCATTTATTTCATTATTTATTTTAATTTTAGTTGTATCATATGTTGCTGGAACATCAACGCTTCGTCAATATGAAATTGCTGAACAAGTTGCCAGTGCAGGTTTATGGAAGATTTTTTCGGGCATGTATAATAATTCATTGATCTTTGAATAATTGTTGAATTTTACTAATTTATTAAAAATATTTATTATATTAGGTACTAAAAAAACTACGGGACAAAAAGTAGCCATATTTGTGGGTATTGAAGAATAGAACTTGAAAAAATTTTCTAAATCAGATATTTTAATTCAAAAAAAATTTTGTTCTTTATTGATTAATGTTATTTAGACATTTGAAAAAAAAATAATAGACAATCCTCTAAGAAAGAGTTATGATAAAAAAGAGACTGAAAAGGTTTACGCGGTTTTGAAAAGAGAGGTATTATGGTTTATATTATAATTTCAGGAGTGCGATTTGTCAATTTATATACATATATATTGTTTACTTATTCTATTTATATTTGATTTTAGGCTAGTCAATTGTCACGGCTTCGTCATCCGTCATTATTAGAAGTTGTTGAAGCTGTTGAGGAATCAAGAACAGTTATTACATTTGCAACTGAACCTATTTTATCTTCTCTTGCTAATTTACTTGGGAATTATGATAATTTGTCTCCTATTCCAGATGATATTAAAAATTTTGACATGGATGAATTAGAGGTTTTTAACGTTAAAATCATTTAATAAACATTTAATTTTTATTTATATATATTATATATTTTATAAGTAGATTCAGAAAGGGCTACTTCAGGTTGGTAAAGGTTTACAATTTTGTCATAATGATGCCAAAATTGTTCATTCAAATCTGGTACCAGAAGCAATATTCGTAAACACAAAGGTATGAATTATATTTCCTTTTCATTTTAAAGATAAAAATTTAATATATATTATATTTGATTAGGGAGACTGGAAAATTGGAGGGTAAATTCAAGTTATTAAAGCTAGGTTTAATTTAATAGAAGATTCCGGATTTAATTGCCTTTGTGAAATAAATGTAGGTTTGGATTTAGTACCTTTATTACTAATCCTGATGCCTCCGCACCTTACGAATACCCAGATTATGATGTGCGAATACCAAGTTATGCGCAAAAAAATCTTGATTACATGGGTATGTCTTTTTTCGGAAAATTTAATACGATCTTTTTATTTCTTCTTTTTTTTAAAAAAAAGTATCACTTATCGGTTTTATTGAATCATAGCACCAGAATATGTGTTGGATGAGAACCTTGATTTTGCGAACGATATGTTTGCTCTCGGCTGCTTAATATATACGGTGCATAATCATGGCAAACCTCCAATAAAAAACCATAATAGCATTCAAACATATCGTAAAAATATTGAAAATTTATCTTCGATTAGTTATGAACAACTTCCCTATCATCTTCATGGTAATACATTTTTTTTTTTTTAAAAAAAAAAAATTTTCAAATTATCTAATACATATATATATATATATATATTGCTAGAGGTTATGTTTAATCTCATTACGCGGTATCCATCCCAGAGAATGACAGCAATTGAATTTCAGACGAGCAAATATTTTGATAATGTTCTAGTTTCTACCGTGAAATTCTTTGAAAGTTTTCCAGAGAAAACCGCAGATGATAAGGCAAATTTCATGAAAGGTTTAATTCGAATTTTGCCACAATTTCCTGAGAGGGTGTTAGTCCGCAAGGTAAATATTCCATAATCATTTTATTTTTGACAAGTACGTTAGAAAAAGATTATAATTTAGGATCGATTATTTATTTAAATGTTATAGATTTTGCCTTCTCTTCTTCAAGAGTTAAAGGATTATTCACTTTTAGCATATACACTTCCTAATATTTTCTTTATAGCGCAAAAATTACCACCTAATGATTTTTGTGACAAAGTTCTTATACCTCTTAAACCAATATTTTCCATTTCTGAACCAATGCAAAATATGATAACTTGCCTGGACAATATTGATTTGTTTCAACAGAAGACTTCATCTTCTATATTTAAAGATGGTGTTTATTTATTTCTTATACCATTGAATTTTAATATATCAATTGCTAACCTGTAAAATTTATAGATGTAATGCCCCTAATTTATAATGCATTGGAAACAAGGGTGCCTGCAATACAAGATAAAGTCCTTAAAGTTATACCCACAATAGCCGACTCCTTAGATATTTCGACTGTTAAGGCTTCATTATTTCCAAGGATTCAGGTGAGGAAATTTTATAATTTCGTATTTTTTTATTAACGTTATAAGAAAATTATCAATTAATACTGTTTTTTCGATAGAATCTGTTTATCCATACTACAATATTGTCCATCAAAGTGACAACGTTGATTTGTCTTCATTCATTAATTAAATTATTAGATAATGTAAATATATTACTGAATAAATTTTTTTTTTCTTTAGCCGAACTTAATTAAAACTTAAAAAATTTATATTAATTAATAACAAATAGTTTACAATAACGGAAAAACTTATACCTTTGCTAAAAGGCATCAAGACGAAGGAGCCTTCCGTGATGGTAAATCATCCTTAGTAGTAATTAATGTATCTTTAAAGTTTTAATATAATTTTTAATATTATAGATTGCTACACTCACAGTGTATGAAGAAATGGGTAAATCTTCGGAAAAGGATGTTATAGCTACAGAAATAATACCACAATTGTGGAAGTTATCTGTAGTCCCAACATTAAACCTACAGCAGGTGTGAAATTATAATTCTTTTTTTTTTTTTGATTTTATTTTGTATTGAACTTTTAAAATTTTTTTTATAGTTTCAAAGATTCATGAATGTGATCAAGACATTGTCCATGAAAGTTGAGAAGGACCATTCGCGTCAACTTCAGGACATTAAGAATATTGAAGATAATACGAGAAAGTTTGAGGAAGGAGGGAAAGATAATGATATGAACAATATTCCCGTTGATTTTGAAAAACTTGTTGGTTCATCTGGAAGAATGATTAATAATAATGCAATAAATAGCGTCGGTAATTGTTCTACTGAAATTCCACCTGATCCCTTTGATACACCGGATAATGGACCGATTCCTGGGTTCATAACTACTTATGGACCATCCAACATGGTGAGTTTCATTTTTTTATAAAAAAAAATGGGTTCTAAATAAATTGTCTAAATGATCTTTTATTTATAGAGCTCGAAAACAAATAATGAACTAATGACATCAACTATTCAAGCTGATTTTTTCACAAGTAATGGAGTCATACCGATATCACAAACATCTCGCAATTCATTAAGTTCAACAAACACTTTTATGGGAAACCAAAATCAGACACAGGCACAATCCATAAATTCATATTCTACCATATCTACATCACCTTCACTTAATAAAATCCCATCGTTACCACCACCAAATTTTTCTTCGAAGGCAGGGACACTTTCATCAATCTCTACTTCATCATCTATTTCATCAAGTTTATTTAATTCAATAGCAACTTCAACACCAATGTCACCTATTTCACATGGTAAATCTAATACAATGAATACGACACGTCCATCATCATTTTCAATGAATAATGCCACACCATCTTTAAATAATTTCAATTCTCAAATTAATTCAGTGTCATTAAATTCTTCTTCATTAAATAATGACCAACTTAACATGAAGAATATGAATGCTACACCATCATATAATCCTGGAAGTATACTTCAACCTATAAGTTCATCAAATAAATCAGGATTTAATAGTAGTTCAGGTACTAATCAAAAAATAAGCAAGGGAGATTTAACAATGTTTGATCCATATTCATGAAATGTATATTTTATTTATGTAATATAATATTTAAAAAGTAAAAATTTATTTTTATTAGGGAATCATATAATTAATTGTTAATAAATACAAAGTTACACACCGTGTTACTTGGAATATAAATTAAATCATTTTACATGGTTATGAAAGTATGTTAAAAAATGTCTAAACGTCCTGATTTAGGCTGTCGAGGTCGTGCTATAAAAGTTAGAGCAAACTATTTTGAAGTTACCTCTCTGCCTGACTCAAACATTTACCTTTATGAATTTACAATCACACCGGTTGTTCCCTCGTCTTTAAAAAAAAAATATTATATTACGAGTTTTCAAGATAAAATGCAAGTTTTCTTGGAAATTCGAACTATGTATACGACGGTTATAAATTTATGTATACTTGTGGCCCATTACCGTTTCGCAGTTTTAATAGCAATGTAATTCTTCCATCGAATGATACTTCACTACGTAGCAAACGTATTTTTAATATCATCATCCAGAGAATCGCTGAACTTGATATGGAACAACTACATAGATTCCTTGACGGGAATTGCAGTTCATCAATAAATATCCAAAGAGGTAATAATATTTTTTATTGTTATTTTATTTTTATTTATTTATTTATTTTTATCTTACATTCCAATTAATGTAAATCTTAGGATTTGAGGCTCTTGATGTATTGATTCGTTACAAATCATCCATGATGCATATAACACATCAAGAAGACGAGATTATGTACGCAACGTATGGGAGAACATTTTACACTAATCAAGACTCAAAATCTATTTTTGGAGGTGCGGAAATTTGGCAAGGAATTTATCAATCTATCAAGCCTACTCCTCACAAATTGATGGTCAATATTGATATATGCGGTACTGCTTTTTATGAAAATTGTAGTTTAGTACAAATGGTCACAAAATTACTCGGTCTAAGTAACCCTGATGATCTTAGAAGAGGAATTCAAGATCACGAACGTTGCAAACTTCAAAGGGCTTTAAAGGGTTTAAAGATTCACGTCAATCATCTTGATTCCAAACGTACATATCGTATTGTTAGAATAACCAACATTCCAACTTCAGATATTAAATTTGAAATCGATGGTAAAATAACCGATGCGGTTTCATACTTTAAAAAGAGTTACAACAGTACTCTACAATTTCCATTTCTTCCTTGCGTTACCATCAGAGAAGATATAACTTTACCAATAGAATTATGTGAAGTAGCCAAGGTATGTAAATATGCAAATATTTAAAAGAAGTACACTTAGCTTATATATTTACAAAAGCGGGAATTCTTTCTAATCGTAAATTCATTAATGTGTTTTTTATCAGGGACAACGTTGGACCCGTAAAATGAATGAAAGACAAACAGCGGATATGTCTATACTTGCTTGTTTGCCACCTAGATTCCGTGCAAAGAAAATTAGACAAAGTCTAGACATTCTCAAATATCAAGAGAACGAGTACTTACGAAAATTCGGCATGAGTGTTTCTAATGCTATGGCTACGTTTGAAGCGAGAATATTACCTGCACCGATGTTACATTATCATCCCTCTTCTCTTGTAGCTTCTTTCATACCAAGTGGTGGCTTATGGAGTATGCGCAATAAAAAATTTGCTTTTGGCGCCACGCTTTGTTCGTGGGCATGTGTTGTTTTCGGAAATTTCCATACAACAATTCCTCAAGTCATTAATTTATACTTGTCAAGATACAGGAATGAATATTACAAATAAGTTTCCACCTATCGTACAATGTAACCCTCTTGGTAATATTGAACAGTCTTTAAAACAAGCATGGATTAAGGCAGGAAATATGACTAAATCACCGCCTCAATTAATTTTATGTATTCTTCCTAATACTGCTGTACCTCTGTATGCAGAGATTAAACGAGTGAGCGATACAGTAATTGGCGTAGTTACTCAATGTATTCAATCTAGACATATTTTAAAAAGAAATTGTTTTTTTATGCTAATATTTGTCTTAAAATGAATGTTAAACTTGGTGGTATGAATTCACTCGTTGATCTAAAACTAATACCGTTTATTTCACAGCGTCCATCTATTATATTGAGCGCAAACGTTATCCATTTAGATGATTGTAATCGTTCATCTATTGCCGCTTTATGTGCTTCACTTGACGCAAAGGCATATCGTTATGCTGCTTCAATTCGATTTCAACGTATTGGAATGGGACACATTGAAGACTTGTCTGATATGGTTAAGGAATTATTAAAAACCTTTTATCAGCACATAGGAAGAAAACCAGAACGTATTTTATTCTATCGAGATGGTATCATAGAAGAGAGTCTCAAAGATGTGGTAGAAGCATTAAAAAGTACAAATATTTTTTTTTTTTGTAATAATTATAATAATTGAAACGTACGTTCAAAACAAACTTCTTTTAATTTAAACGTTTCTTAAAAATGCTTAGCCGCATTTAGATTACTTGAAACGAATTATAACCCAACAATAACATATATAACTGTGCAAAGAGCTCATCACACTCGCTTCTTCCCAATGAATAAAAGTGGTTCCGATAGGTTGGGAAACTGCCTTCCGGGCACAGTTGTTGATTCAACTATAACTCATCCTTTCGAATTTGACTTTTATCTTACGAGTCATGCTAATTTTGTGGGAACTTCGCGTCCAACACATTATCATGTATTATTTGATGAAAACCAATTCACATCTGATTCACTTCAAACCTTATCATACAACTTGTGCCATTTGTATGCGCGGTCTACATGTGCAGTTTCAGTTGTCTCTCCAGTGTATTATGCTAGATTACTTTGTAAGAGAGCAAAGTTTCATTACCGTTACGATCGTTGGAAAGATTCAAATTCGGATTCTTCAGAATCTTCAGTAGGTATTAAACCTGCATTAAATTTTGCCAAGGTGATGCCTGAATTACGGAAAACTATGTACTTTATTTGAATGTAAATATGGAGGTTATTATTTAGTTATATAGAATATTTAAACATCAGTAGATTTAATTTATATCATTTTTAATTTTTTGTCGGTTATCATAGAATTCTATTTTTTTTAAAACCTTAAGAATAGAATAAAAAAATTACTTAAAATTAATATATACCGTATTCATCCAGGTTTTATAAGTCCGAAATTTTTAAATTGAAGTGTGTTCAAGAGCAACAATGCGGCACATTAAAACAATATATCAAATACGTGAAACTTTGAAATAATTTATGTTCTATCTAAAGACTACTTGTAATATCATTTCAGTATCTCATTTATTTAGACATTTATGGTCGCGCGTCGCACAAAAAAGGAAAGGATTATTTCGAAGAATTTGAAACAAATCGTGATATAGGCAATCTAATTTAATGTTAATGACACTGTGCCTTGTATATTTAAAGGGCCTCCATTCAAATCATGAGTGCCAAATTCGAACTAGTAATTCAATCATATATTAGAGGTTTTGTTGTATCAATAAGAAAAAGAATTATTGATACATGTAGCATTACCATATTTCTAACTGGAATTCCTTCTAAAATGGCAGTCCTGCCATGAACAATAAATCATCACGTTTATTGTAAAATTTAACTTACCCTCGTACGTCCATAGCTAATTCATCTGTTTTGATATATCTTTCCGCTCTGTAATTTATCAGTATTGTGTAATCTTTCCATAAAATAATTGTATCACGTGATTCTATCATTGTTGTATATATTGCTGTCATAATTGTTGATTTCAAAAGTCATCTTAAAATTATTGTAAGATGTATACTATCTGAAATAGGATATCATGGTTGAATTATCCTTAGAAAGCCTCATATTAGTGAACTTAATCGCCAAGAAAGATAATTTTGAATAATAAATAACCAGAAGCAGATTGTAAGAAATGACAAGTCTAGGTTCACCTTATTCTAAAGTAATGAAAAATGTTATGTTTGGCATTTCCCTAAAGGAAAGAATTGATATGAGTTGCCTTATTCTGATAATAAAATATATAATGATGTAGATGTAGGAATGTTTTAGATAATTGGATTAATTTTTTAGTAAAGATTGATGGTTAGATTGATAGTGAAAGGTAATATACAAGAGATTCTTAACTATTATGTGATATCATTTTTAGAAGAATTTTAAAAGAAAATGGTGAGTATTTCTTCTAGCAAAATAATGTAACTGATTCATGTAATATAAGAATACATACTTTTATGGAAGAAATAGAGGTTTTAATTTAATCCAATTGAGCTATATTAGAGCAAGAACAGATAATCCAAAAAATTTTGGAAAAATTAGACTCATTTCTTCAAGAGTGCTTGCTGGTCACAAATTCTTACCAAAAATTCGTTGAGAGCATGAATCATCAAATAAATGCCATAATTAAGGCTCGTGGCTATCCTTCGAGATATTGACAATATTTTTATTGAATTTTATTGAATTTCTTTATATAAAATCAATTTTTTTTATAAAAAAAATCAATAGTAATAAGTTTTTAAATATAATTTTGAATCATGTGATAGATTTGCATATTAAATCGTTAAAATTTAAAAAAAGTTTCATTTTTGAAAATGCTAATTAATTTTAATATATATATATATATTTATTTAATTTACTAAATATGAGTAGTTAAAAACAACTTAAAAGAATTCGTCATAGATAATTCATCAAATAAATAAATTAAAAATGCCAAATTCTCCTTTAATATATATAATATAATATTACTAGAAGAATAAATATACCATCAGAATCGAATTTCGGAATTAGAAATAAATTTATTCAAATTGCTGTTTCTACCCAATAACCGAAATTATTGGATCTTATACTTTCTCGCTAAGGGATAATAACTTTTAAGAAATAATTTTTTAAAATTTGAGAGAATTTTCATGGGACCGCCAAGTTGGAACCTGGTCCTAAATTTTAGTTAATTCCCGCATAAGCTTAATAATATTTAATAAAAATTAAATTAATACATTAATCAAAACCATCAACTTTTTTACAGACTGACTCTACGAGTAAAATGATTCTATTCAAATCGGAATATTCTTCGAGTTTTACATTCAAATGATTATTAAATTTAGAAATTATTTGTTTATTTGTATTTTCCATCACGGCTGCGCCGTTAATAGTAATATAAATTTAGGATTCTCGTATTAATATCACCAAACATTCTTAACGTTTGAATTCTAATAAAATATTTCCATCATCATAAATAATTCCATCCCAATAAACTTCCGTAATTTTTGGAACTTTTTGAAATTTAATCCAAGTAAAATCTTTAACCTATACTAGTACCTTGTGTTTGGTATCATATATTTCAGTAATAAGATTTTTTTGTCGGAGTTACAAGATTAAGATTTAAAGATATTCAAATAGAAGTAAAAGTATCACTAGTAAGTTCGGGAACATTTAGATGTCTGAAATAATAAAAGTGATCTTGCATCATCAACAACCCAGCTATATAAATAATAAGTTGAGGAGTTATTATTAAAATGTCCATACTTTTGTTTTCCAAACATTTCAATATATGAGTCGTTTGCTATTAAAATCGATTTACGGAACATAGTAAATAATAACGTGATTTTACTAGCAAACCTCCCATATAATGCTGCTAAACCTTCTGCTATATACGGCTTGTTCCAGATTCTATCTTATACGGCGGAAATTTCAGGCTATAAAAAAAAATATTTTTTTAATAATACAAAAATAATAAAAACTTAAAAATTATTTAAAAAAAATTTTGTTTAGATAATTTATTTATTATTGCCTTGGTATTTAATTCTCCATTTAAACCCCACCCAACTTGAAAATGTTGAAGGAACTACGGAATATTGTTTAAATTCCATATATCCATACTTATCAGAAAAATCTAATTCCAAATTTGGGATATTGAATTAAAATATCGGGCTCAATAATCGCAACGTTTCCCTCATCCGAGATAGAACAGGTTGAATTAATAATCAGTGATTTAAAGTTTTTGTCGTTTGTCTAGAAATAAGATTTTTTTTTTTTAAAAAAAAAAGTATTATTATTAATACAAATAATATAATACAACATGACTTTGAATTACTACTTACAGGACATGATATCTTATCTTAAATCTTAATCTATGATAATTAGTGTATTATTAAATTATTTGAACATTTATCCTTTGGAAGCAATTTACTTTAGCACTTTGGAAAGAAAATGCCAATGCACTTTGTGTAACATAGTCTATATAATTAGTAAAATATTTCAGTATTTTTTTTTTCTCTTATGCCATTTAGGATTCTTTGAATCAAAAGCTTAAAAATTAACAACTTTATCTGTTCTAAATAAAAATTCGATGGCGTCATATTACTAGTAAATGCGCCATAAGTCACCTTCATTCCCTGTCGATACCATAAATATTATTTAACCATTCATTAATCAAATTTGCAAGAAGGAATTATGGTCACCCTCAAATCCCTTTTAAATAAAAGATTTATATTTATTGTATATATGTGATATTTAAAAAAGTTTTACATATTTATGATTTCCTTGATTATGGTGTCGATATCTACTTTTCCTAAGTTGTTATCACAAACCGAAGGAAGAACTTTATAAATTATAGCATGTTGAGCTTCAACATGTTCAGCAGGTGAAGTAAAAGGTGAAGAAGTAAATTTAACATAAAATGCATATGCGAGAATTTTATGAGAGGAATGATTGGCTATCTTAGCAAAAGTCCGATTGAGAAGTAACAATAGAAATGTCAGATTAATAATAAATTTTGGTATTCCTTGATTTTCATTTTATTCTTTCTTTTTTTTTATTAAAATAAAAGAAAAACTAATAATTAATTTAAGTAAAGTATTTACTAAGTGTATTATTTTCGTCTTTAAATATCTTTGTTTTTTACCTTTACGAACACGATCGACCCAAATTTGGTGATATAAAGAATTCTTTCCATTTAAAATTGAGTTCGTGAATGATAGCAAATGATTATATTATTGTTTACCAAATTAAAAAAAAATTTTGTCTTCAAAAATGTATATTAAAACTTTCTCTTTTTTAATTTTCTAATAAAAGGCCTTTCTCTAATGAATTCCATAGTACCAGATGAATCTTCGATTCATTGACACTAATTCTTTTGGTTAAAGTTATACAATGAGCTGGATAAATATTTTGGATAATTAAATAGTTCTTTTTTTGGTTTTTTTCATACAAAAATAATACAAAATTAAAACACATTTTTGATTTTTCAATAATTGATTGATCTATTGTCCTCGCAAATTTGAAATTTCGTGTCCCAATACCTTTTTTGGGCGATTAAATATAATTACTATAAAGAAAAGTCTTCACCGGGCGCTTATTTACGGTAATTGGCAAAAAAATTGATTCCCTGATCGATTGTGATAATTTTTCGTTTTGGATTCAGAAAGTGGTTCCTTAGATTTAGAATCGTCCTATGAATAAATGTGTTTTTTAATGTATAAGTCTTCTTTTAATTTGGAATTTTCTAAATTTTCTTCTGTATTAATAATTTCTTTTTGCGAATTCTGTAAATAAAATCTATAATAAAATATTTAATTTTGAAAAATTGTAAATATCTTATTATGCTTGAAAGAGTTAATTCTGAATTAAATACTTAATCGATGCGATGTTACATTCATTATAGCTTGTAAATATAATCCTTCATCGTCTCCTATTGTGCAATTAATACTGATTTAAAGTTTTGGATCATTTTTATGTATTTTTAGAGAGTGAAGCATTATTAACTACTATAAAATAATTTAAATTAAACTGAATTAATTTATGACGTGTCGTGTCAATCGATTAATCAACGTTGATCAGGTGGTATAAATTATAAATCACGCGAATAGTGTAACGTCAAACAACGTAAATTTAATTGCGTGCCTTAAAATATTTCCCCAATGAACTCTCAAAAGTAAATATGGCCTCAAAATTAAACGATGATTGTTTATACTATATTTTTCAATATTTAGAGGGTGATTGTATATCTCTACTTGCTTGTCTTCTCGTGGATAGAAAATGGTGTCGAAGCGCCGTCCCAATTTTATGGAGCAACCCTTGGAAATATCGAAAATTTAGTAAAAGGTGTTACAGTGGTGCAATTTCAATAATTAATACGTATATTTCAACCTTACCGGAGGAAACTAAACAAGGGTTAATCAATGAAATTATTGTACGACCTTATTTGGTGACGAGGAATGCAACTTTTGAGTATGAAAAATACATGAGAAGTTTAAATATTTTTGAACTGGAATTTTATGTTAGAAAATGGGTCAGTTATCAACCTGTTCGATTTGCGACTACCAGACGTAAAATTAAAGGTGTCAAAAATATTGCAAAAACAACAACTGCCAATCAACCAGATTATGATCGTGATACAAGGATCTTGATGTCTGAACTTTTATATTTATTCCTCGTCAATTCACAAAAGATTGAAACTCTTTACATTTCAGATTTTGATAAGAACTTTTCATTTATTTTAAAGATTGCAGATGAAGAACCGGAAGCCAAAAAGTGTCTTCAAAAATTACGTCATTTAAAGATTAGCACTCATCAACCAATAACTTCATCTTTAACAAGGTTATCAGAAATTTCACGTAATGTTGAACATCTGGAAATCGAGAATTGTAACGTTAATTCATTTGAATTAAAAAGGTTAATCAATGTACAAAGTAGTTTAAAAGAATTGACCTTGGAATTTGTAGTTAATCAACCTTATCAAATCCATAATGTCAACAATGTTTTAAGTGAATTGTCATCCAAAGCGAAATCTATAACAAGAATTGAGATCAGAGATGCAGCGGATTTATTTATCATATTGAATAGTTTTGTGAATTTAATTGAATTAATTATCAATAACACTGATAAATGTAACCTACAGAAATGGGAACATTTATCAAACGTAGAGTCATTGAACAAATTAAAAAAATTGGTTATTAATAATAAAAAAGGACCCGTTTATTTTAATATCATAGCAGATCTTATTAACAGATCTTCTTGTAATTTGGATCAGATTGTTATTTTAACGACAAAACCTCAAGATCCGACTCATATAGGCACTTTGATTAAATCCATCAGCAAGAATTGTTCGAATTTAAGGGTGTTTAAGGGATTGATTGGTAAAGATCACACGAGTGAATTCTCTCAATTATTACAAAGATGTAATCAACTCAAGGTTTTGCATATTTACCCAGTGAAAACTTCTTGGGGGAATGAAATCTGTAGATTTGATGGTCTATTACAACAAATGACGAAGTATTTATCATTTAATTTAAATAGATTATTTTTGGAAAATGGTTGGTTAATTTCCGAGATTGACCTGTTTAAACATTTTGTGGAGGGACGAAAATTATTGGATTTGCAAAAAATTTCTTTCTATGCTTATCAGTCTATTACTTACAGATATCAAGAATTGGTGGATATATGCGAGAATTATAAAGAGAATAATTATTTGCTAGATTATCATTTTTATTTTAAATGAAACTATTTGATTCCAGGGTAGGAATTGGCGTTCACAAGGACAATTGAAAATGTATTGATTCGTATTATCTTTTATATTTTTTGACGGATTATGTAGAATATGTAACAAGAAGAAAAGAAAAAGTAAATTTTGTCAACAAAAATTAATAAAATTGTGATATTGTTAGAAATTGTGACGCAATAGGTCACGTGGCAAATGAATGACATAACGCGACATGTCGATCATCTACAGATCTTTTTAGTGAATTTTTACGGTAATTTCACTCCAAACTATGAATTTTTGGTTCAGGTATGTTTTAATATTATATTTCTTTTTTCATTATCAATATAAATTATTTACGAATATTTAATGTAGATGATCACGTCATTTCAGAAAAAAAGAATCAAAGCGCGTTATTTCTTTGCCTATGGCGCAGGAATTAATATGTTTTTCAATGAATGATATTCATATAAGTGTAAGGTGAATTATGAATATTTATGTAATTGATGTAATTGTTTCGATAAATTATGTTCAGATCATTATTGTTGAAATAATAATTGATTTAGATGATCAAACATTGGTAATTATCATCAAAATTAACTTATTTGATGACCTTCTACAGATAACAAGTAAAAATTTTTTGAATACATTTAATTGAAATAATTACAAAATGCATTCTTAAGGTTCTTCGAGAGAAGTGATAAGATGCGAAGGCGTTTCAATAATCTACGTTATTCAAATACAAGTTTATAATTACGAAATTCGACCATTTCGTCTTTAAAGCGTTTCTTTTGGTGATAATTGTTCTTCTATTTTAAAACAAAATATGCATCTTTTTAAGTGCCACGTCCACTACAATTTCACTACCGTGATAAAAGATGAGATCATATCTTTATTATAAAAAAAAAAATTATCATTTTAATAGGCATTATTATTTTAAATTAGAAAAATACATAATAATAATAATAATAATAATGATTAAAATTTTTAATATTTATTAGTTATAATATATAAGCAATAAATATTTAGTTGGCCAACTTTTATTTGTAATGATATTTAATTTGTAATATTTATTTTAATTCTATAAAGGATATTTTCAATTAAATATGTTAAATTATCAAAAATTTGATTCTATTTTTTCTTGTAAAACAGCATTCATTTCCTTTATATTTCTTACAATAAACTACAAATTTAGCTTTTTATATAGAAAATAAGCTATATTTTAAACTAAAAAAAATACATAATAATTATTTTTTATTTATTAATTATTAGTTTTTAAAAATAATTGCAAAAACTTTATCATTTATTATTTTGAGATTATTTCTTCTAATTCATTTGATTAATTTATTAATCTTAATATTTTTTAATTTTGAAGCTTTGATAAATAAATCTTTTTTATTATTAAAACTATTTATTCAAATAAATTAATAATATTAAATATAATAAATTAATATTTTTAAGTAAAGAAATTATCAATATTATTTAATATAAAAAATAAAATTATTTTAATAAAATATAATAAAATATCAAATTTAATTTTTAATTTAAAAAGCTTATAATTTAGTAATTATAAATACTAAAAATATGATCATATTAGTTAAAGCTTTAAATTTTAAAAAAAATTGATAATTTAATAATTTTGAAAACAGAAAAGTTTTTAAAGTAAATTATTACTGTATTTTAATATGACAATTCTAATATATTATAAATTTTTAAATTAAATTAAGATTTAATAATAAATTTTTTATTATAAAATTACTTATCTATACAAAAAAAATTCTTAGATATAAATAAAAAATAAATAGGGAATAAGAACCATTATTAAGTCTGAAGTAAGTATAATAAAAATAATTAATCACATATTAACTTAATTTTTAAGTAGTTATATTACATAAAATTATATAATTCAGAATAAAAATGCCTTCTTAAACTATTTTTAAAAAATTTGAGTTTCAAGATATTTGAGATAAAACTATTTGTTTATAATAAATATCTTTATCTAAACTTCTAATAGGTTTCCTAAACTCAATTAAGTTTCATCAAATTTCAGATTAAAAAAAAATGCATTTTAAAGGTTTTGAAATAGTTTCTCAATTTTTAAGCTACACGTTCAAATAGGTTTTAAATAGCATCATTAGTTCAAAATATAGTAAATAGTATTGTTATCTGAAACTAAAATTCATAGTTTAAAATAACTAAAACTAATTTAATTAAGTATTAAAACTAGTTAAGTTAATAGCTGAAACTACTGTAATTAGTTTTATTTAACTGAACTAATTTTTAGTAGTTAGCATCCTTAATAGTAAAAGACTAAAAATTATTATCTAATTCTTTTTAATAAATAATTATTTTTAATTAGATCAACTGGTTATTCTATTAAGCTTTATTATCAGTAATTAATAAAATATTTTAAATATTAAATATCTATATTATATCATTAAATTTAAAATTAATATATAATAATCAATCATATATTATATAAAAATTAATATATTCATTTTATATTATATATGTATTACACATTTATAATAGTATTTGATTTTTATCAAATTTTTAAACTAGAAATACTAATCAATTTAATTAATTGCAAATATATATTAATAGTTTTTTTATTATTATTACAGTCAAAACTCAATATAATGATTTATGATAAACTGATTTTGGTTTATAACAAACTTTTTTTTCAAATCAAAACCACCTATAATTAATTTTATTACAATATAATGAATTTTATTATAAATTTCTTGATATTACATATAATGAAGTCTAGTTGTAAACTATTAATATGTATTTATTCGTGATTAACTGATACTGATTTTTTTAATTTACCAATCATCATTATAAAAAAAGTTTTCTTACTTTATTTAATGATCATTAATATAAAAATAAAATATTTTTTCTATATAACAGATTATTCTTAATATAGTAATATAATAAATGTTAATTGATCAAATTATAAATATTTGTTATCATAGATCAAAAAACACATTTTTTTTAATCATACTTTATTATGTCTTCTGAAAAAAATGTGTTATATTATCTATAAGACAAAAGAAAAAACTTTGTATTAAAAAAGCTGATAATCCATGTTAAATATTGAACTTGCTAAATATTACAACATCAAACCTAATACAGTTAGTAATATTTTTAAAAAATGTCAGAATATTTATCTATTTTTAATTCTGAACAGGATAGAAAAAGGTTTTGAGAACTAATGTATAAAGAAATAGATAAGACAGTTAGTATTTAAATGTCTCAGTTTTTGTTTATGAATTAAATATTATGTGAAGATATATTATAACAAAAGACCAAAATGTTTGCAAATAAATTTAGCATTACAGGATTCAATGCATTTGCTGGTTAGTTAATTAATTTTAAAAAAAGAAATAATTTTTAATCATATATTAAATCAAGTAAGGCTGCTAATGTACCTGATATTGATAAGCTTAATGAATATCAGGCAACTATTGCCGAAAAATTATGAGTATGATTTGCAAGACATTTATAATTGTAATAAAACAGATAATCTAAACCAATTAATTTTAAAAAACTTTTTTATATTAAATATTTTTTTTTACTCAGCTCTTTTCTGGCAATTAGAACTTTCAAAAACACTTGCACAAGATCCTGTAATTGGAACTAAAAAATCTAAAAACAGAGTTACTATTTTGCTAACATGCAATATTATAGGTAAAAATAAACTCAAGCCATTATTTATATATAAGTATAAAAATCCTTGATCTCTTCATGGTATATTCGTCAAAAATAATGTAAATTATTATTAGAATAAAACTGCATAGATACAACAATCAATTTGGTTAGACTATTTAAAAAATTTAAATAATTTAATATGTGCTTAAAAAAAAATTCTTTATTAGTAGATAACATTTCTACTTATAGAAAAGAAGATAAAATTTCTTCTTTTAGTAATATTGAATTATGTTATTTACTACCAAACACTATAGCAAATCTATAATCCTTAGACACTAGAATTATTAACTCATTTAAAGTTAAATATCAAAAACTCTTAATAGAAAACAAAGTTGAAGCATATGATCTTGCACAAGAGCTAAATAATCAGTTATAATTCAGAATGCAATTGATTTTGTTGTAGAAGTATGGAACTAAGTTGAATCAACTACAATTAAAAACTACTGGATGAAAACTGGAATTCTACTATCTAAAGGTAATAAATCAGATAAGGAAGATAATTATGAGGAAGATGATGTTATTGCTATTATTAAATTGATTCAAAAGGAAGATCAAAAGGATTTGAAAGATACAATCAGAAAATTACTATTTGATAATCTGTTATCTGTATTAGATTATATAAATGCTGATAAAATTAACAGCGATAATTGCTTTTTATTAGATAATAAAATTGTTGAAATAGTAAGACTAAACCCAAATGCAGATGATGAGAAAGAAATTATTCCTGTCATTTTCTTGACAAAAGCATTAGTTAATGTAGAAAAATTGATTAATTTATATAATTTTTCACTGAAAATTTTTTAAGTGACTAATGAAGAACTGAGAATTTTAAAAGATATTAGGCATAAAGTATTAAATGAATTTATCAACTTTAATTAGGAATTTTTTTTTTGAAATAATTTATAATAATAGAACTTTATGTAAATATTTTATGAATAAAACATAGGAATAATAAATAATGTAATACAAAATAAACAAATAATGTATTTATATATAAACACGTAATACAATAATGAAATTTTTGTTAATAATTTTTTTATATAGCGAATTTTTACATTATTTACTATTTAAATCAGTATATCAAGAAAACTCATTTTTTCAAATCCTTATTATAATGAACCAAACCATCAAACTAGAGGGTTCGTTATATCGAGTTCTGACTATATAACAAATCTTATTTATATGCTTAAGAATTAAATAAATTATTTATTTTATAACTATCTAAATTTTAATTTCTAAGTATATGGAACCTTATAATAAAAAAGAGAGAAATTGTCAAGAAAAATTAATTTTACTTTTATATCAAATAT